GTAATGAAAGTCAAAAACTTTCATGAACAAAAGTAAAAGTGTCTAAATTTCTCAGGCTCTGAGGTGGAAACACGTATTGATGTATTACCATAGAAACAACTCCAAAAACATGTTGCTTTATTTATTGATTTATTTATATTTTGTATTCGTGTGGAAACTGTCTCTCTGATCTGTTGGGAAATGTTTAGTTGTGGTTAAAAAAAAACAGAGCTTCTTACCGTGGCCGCCTCAGTCACAACCTGCTCCTGGAAGGACATAGTACTCTTAATAGAAACAGAAAGATATTAGGATTTTTGTTCTTCCATCAAAAACACAGTAAGTCCCCATAAAAATGTAAATGTCCTTCATTCTTTCTGACCCAGAAATCATGTCAAACTGCTGGATGTCTGAGATCCTCTGCAGAGAAAACATCACACTGTCTGTACATTCATGAAGTTCTAGCTTCAGTAGTAAAAGATATCATTTACACAGGTCATGCAGGCTTGCTGCAAGCAAAGGGAACAATGTTTGTGTGTGTTTGTGCTGCACGTGAGGCCCAATGAAAGGACTCTGTATGCATACCAGCTTGTTGCAAGGTTTATGCTTGACGCATTCTTTTTCCGCTTGGTGATGCGGCTCGCGAATGGAACGCGCTTCACATTTTGCAGCGTTTTGTGTGGCTTGTCTCTGCGGTGAGCCAATATTCTCCCAAACTGTAGGGGGCAGCATGGAGCTCTACGGCATGCATCCAACACTACACCATAGTAGAAGTAAAAATGACTGTTTACAACATGGCATTCCAGCATTTTTAACAGCGTCCTCGTCTTTTCCGACAGTGCGAGCCATTTCTCTCCAAGAATTATTAACAACATGTTGATCACGGTGATCTCTGAGAGCTGAATCATACAAATGTCTGTATTTACCAACCCCTGCCATACTAGTTCTATTTCGTCTAGTCTTAGCCCTTAAGCTAGCTGCTATTGGAAGGATGATCTCAGCATCAGCCAATCATGAAGAGCTTAAATGTACGCCCACCAATGGTGGGCACCCCTGTGGGTATATAAGTGGAGCGACTCCACTGTTCGCCTCTGTTTTCTCTTCAAGCCAAGCTTAAGAGCTTCCTATAAAGAGCAATTATCCAAGAAGCATTCAACTCACCTACCATGTCCAGCGACGCCAGGACCTGCCCGGCCTGCCAGACGGGCTCCATCTCCAGCGGCGACCTGCACGCCAAGTGTGAGGTCTGTCTCGGGGCTCATCACGCTGGCCTGGCCTTGACCCCCCAGGCCTCGTGCCCGTTGTGTGCCGCTCTGCCCGTGGCTGAAAAGATCCGCCGGGTCGAGTACTTCACCCCCGCCGCTGACGAGGAATTTCCGGTGGCTGGCACGTACTCGCTGGACAAGGCCTTACAGTTCTTCAACGTCGGCCAGGAGCCGGCTGGCTCAACCGACTGGACGATGTCATCGACAGTGAGGAGTACGACGAGGCTGGCTGCCATAGCCCTTCTTCCCTCCTGGACAACACGGAGGTCGACGAGCCTCGCTCAGCGGGCTCCTCTGCTCCACTGACTTCTCGCTCCTCCCTGCCAGCAGTTAAAGCTCCAGGAGCTGCCTGCCATCAGCTCCGCGGCTGCGGTCCGCAAGGGGCTAGCCGTGCCAGAACCGGCTTCGCCCGAAAAAGATGATTTGGCGGGAATTTTCGGGGCAACACAGACGCGCTGTCCTGACCCATACAGAGCGGAATGTTCAAGCGCTCTCCTGCCAGCTGGCGGATGTCCTATCGTTTCTGCAGATGCTGATGAACAGCGGCCTCGCATTCAGCACTATTAAAACATATGCTGCAGCTATCTCATCCTGTCACCAGGGCTTTGGAGATAGATCTGTTTTCAATCATCCCCTCACAAAACGTTTTCTAAAAGGTGTCAGGAGGAACAGACCTGTGTCCCGCCCGCTAGTTCCCCAGTGGGACCTAACGGTGGTTCTGCACGGCTTATCTGAAGCCCCATTTGAACCCTTGGACCAGGTATCACTCAAGTTCCTGTCACTCAAAACTGCCTTGCTGCTGGCGCTAGCATCAGTCAAGAGAGTGAGCGACCTAACCGCCCTCTCAGTGGCTCCCGCATGCCTCAGGATCCGGGAAGATGGCGGGTCTGCTGTTTTATGACCCAACCCAGCCTTTGTGCCCCAAAACATTAATACTTCCTTCAAATCCAGGTCAATTTCATTGGCTGGACTTTTTCCTCCTCCCCATAATTCTGAGGAGGAGGCGGCTTCCCACCTTCTCTGCCTGGTGCGCGTGCTCGCACGATATGTGTCACGCACTTCAGGGATTCGCCGCTCACAAAGCCCGTTTGTGCACTACAGAGACTCTTCCCTTGGGCAAGCGCTGTCGACCCAGCGCCTGTCACACTGGCTGTGTGACGCCATTTCACTCGCGTACACATCATCAGGGCGGGATCCTCCTGAGACACTCAGGGCTCACTCAGCCAGAGGGATTTCCTCTTCGATGGCGCTCCACAGTGGTGTGTCGATGGAAGACATTTGTCAGGCTGCTTCATGGGCTTCACCCTGTTCCTTTACTCGTTATTATTTACGAGATGTGTCTTCAGGATCCATCACTCGTTCAGTGCTTGGACCTCAGCAGGCTGAGTGAAAGCATTATGGCACCACATCAGCCCTACCTGAATCATCCTCTTGTGGATGACATTTTTAGTGGGGCCCCGCTCCTCTCTGGCTGCCTCAGCCTTTTAAGCCCTGGGTTAAGGCTGGGCGACCCTCGCTAAAAGGAGACATGTTGGGTGTGTCCATTGGTTGAGCTAACCAGTGGGGCGTAAACCCATCCAGCTGCGCATTATTCCAATAGCAGCTAGCTTAAGGGCAAAGACCAGACAAAATAGAACGTTGGTTACGTATTGTAACCCCAGATTCTATGAGTCTAGTCGCAGCCCTTAAGCCAATGGACCCACTGGTTCTGTTAGGACTAAGAGCCATCGGAGGCGAACAGGGGTGCCCACCATCGGTGGGCGTACATTTAAGCTCTTCATGATTGACTGATGCTGAGATCACCCTTCCAATGGCAGCTAGCTTAAGGGCGAAGACTAGACTCATAGAATCTGGGGTTACAATACGTAACCAACGTTCTTGCCAGTCTGCCATGTTTTTCCGCGTCCGACCGTCCACGCGGCGCGGAAATATTGGGCCGTGCGGAGGGGCGTGGTTGTTAAAATGACGCAATTTCGCCGTGCGGACCTCGCGGACGCATCAAGCATAAGCCAACCTTATTTATTTATATTTTGTATTCGTGTGGAAACTGTCTCTCTGATCTGTTGGGAAATGTTTAGTTGTGGTTAAAAAAACAGAGCTTCTTACCGTGGCCGCCTCAGTCACAACCTGCTCCTGGAAGGACATAGTACTCTTAATAGAAACAGAAAGATATTAGGATTTTTGTTCTTCCTTCAAAAACACAGTAAGTCCCCATAAAAATGTAAATGTCCTTCATTCTTTCTGACCCAGAAATCATGTCAAACTGCTGGATGTCTGAGATCCTCTGCAGAGAAAACATCACACTGTCTGTACATTCATGAAGTTCTAGCTTCAGTAGTAAAAGATATCATTTACACAGGTCATGCAGGCTTGCTGCAAGCAAAGGGAACAATGTTTGTGTGTGTTTGTGCTGCACGTGAGGCAAAGCCTGCAGTCGTGTAAATTAGCCACACATTGTTAACAACTGCTGCTGCTGCTGCTGCTTGTGTGGTCAGCGCGGTAAACAATGTTGGCTCTGGACTGCTACTGCAGACACAGCATTACTTCTGATCACACACACACACACACACGCACGCACGCACGCACGCACACACACGCACACGCACACGCACGCACACACACACACACACACTCCCCAGTGAGTGGAATGACCTAAAAAATGCTCAAACTGACATTTATTTACTGTCAGCATAAAAATAATCATCCATGAGTTTTTAAATAGGTTTTAACGCAGCATAAAGTACAATGAGTGAAAAAAAAAACAGAATTATTTCAGATCTGGCACTGACACCCTGCATCTGAGAATCGGTTTTGCCAAAAATCAACCTGTTTGCAGGCTGAGCTGTGTGAACACACAAGTCTCATTGGTACAAGGACACTCTTTTGTCACCTTAAGGAAAGGGAAAAAAACATTTAATGAAGAAAAACCACAGTATATTTACAAGTTTTAATATTAAACCCATTTCTGGATGAGTCAGGCTCTCTAACTGTAATCGGTTCTTTAAACAAACAACAAATAAGATAGCAAAACCTTTAGCACTCTCATCCTTGACTTCCTGAACTGATGAAATCAAGAACAGATCTAGATGAAAAAGAGGATCTGGATCCATTCACGTACTTTGGACACAGTCCAGGCAACATAGGTGGGCACTGGGGGGCCCTGCCCGCCACTTGTGTCCAGATGTTGCCACCCTATTTTACTTGGGTTCTGCTCTGTTCTTTTAATAGCCAGCCATCTTGTATTAAACCTGTGTTATCTTGATTTGTTTGCAGTTTATTCATTTATACTTGCTTGATCATAAGAAATGTTGACAGCTCTGCAGGAGTCGAGGTACTTTTGCAAACGTACTTCCACATGCTCTGTGATTAAGTGGATGTCTAATGCTACTGGCTAATGCTCAATTAAAAATGCATGGGGCTCTACTGGATGGGGACACACTTAGCAAAAACACAAATTGATGTATTGCCTACATTATATCAAGGTTAGACTGTCACTTTTACTGATTTCTAAAAAAATCATATTTCCTAAAATAGGGGGAAGCTGTGGATTGCTGCTGGAGCTTTGCACGCTGTGGTTCATAACCTGGTGCAACTCCTTTGATTAAATCCTGAGTGAAGAACAGGAAATGTGGTGTCTTAAACGCTAGCAGGCTGGGTTCCTGTGGCAGGAAGAGCACAAGTGTCAGACCACCAACTAACCACAAATAATCTCTACTGAAGACTCAATCTTAAGAAGTGTAAGTCGTCTTTTTCAGTCACCTGCACGACAGAAAGATCACCACAATTTAACTGGCTTTAAAGATCTTATACAGACTTCTAATAAAAGTTTGTATTTTAATTAAAGGGACCACATCATGGAAAATCCACTTTTATGTGCTTTTTACTGTAGGGTTATCTGTGATATTTATTTGTATAGCACATTTAAAAATGGTGTGTCAGCCGACCAAAGTGCTGCACAGAGTAAATAAAATTCACCTTCATACACAGAGTGTGTGTTTAACGGTCATAAGAATAAAAACAGATAAGAGCAAAACAGAAACCGTAAATAAAATGAAGATGCAGCATAAAAGAATGTCCATCGGTCATGTGATAGTTATTTCCTCATAAAGACAAACCCAAACCCGTTTTTGGCTGCTTTCTCCTGTTTGCTTAGTTTACTCAAAAAATTCTGACAACGCCCGGATATTTTGACAAAATACTTCAGCATCGGGGACAAAATGCTGCTGTAAAAACAATGCATCGTGTCTAACAAAGCCACACATAATGGCCAGCTCAGGATATATGTGTGGGGTTGAGCTGGGCAATAAATCGGAAATTGATCGTTATCGAAATTTCTGACTTTTATCGAGATAATTTTTCCCATGTCAATAAATTTGACAATAAAATAATGAAAATATGTGTGTTGGCAACGTTCATGTCCCTTTAAGAAGCTGTACCACCTAGAAGATGTAAAACACGTGACAACCCCATCTAGTGGACAACTTTTGTTTCTGCGCATACCTGAAATTATCGTCCATTTATCATTATGGAGGAGAAATCCTCAATATATTGTGATATTGATTTTAGGCCACACCGCCCAGCACTAGTGTAAGGTAACTGTTGTTTTATAACAGACTTGGTAGTCCAGCGGTTAGAGTGCCACCAAGGCCCTGTCCACACGTAGCCGGGGATCTGCCAAAACCTAGATATTTACTACGTTTTGGCCTGTCATCCACATGAAAACTGAGTTTTCTCACACAAAAACGGATCTTTTTAAAAACTCCGGCCAAAGTGAAGATCTGCGTTTTCTCCGTTTTGGGTGTCTGCGTGTGGACAGACAAAACCGGAGTTTTAAGGTCCGCAACGTCACTTTCCGCGACAAAAAAATGCTGACATCACGTGTGCGACCTGTGTTTACACTAGCCGACAGCATGGATGCCCTCAGAGCTGCGCTCGCTTTATCAATCGTCCAAGCGCTTTCTGCTTGTTTGTTTTTGCAAGCGGAATTACTGCTCCTTGCGGAAGACCACAGACGAAGGACGAGGTTAAGAACGGGGGAAGTACTGCCGCCTACAGGTCTGGCATGTCCTTAACAACGTATTTATCCGGGTACGTGTGGACAGATCAAGGCCAACACAACAGCAGGCTGGCTGGCCTAAGACGCTCTAGGTGAATTTTGTCAGAGCGAGGTGGGCGGAGTTTAACTGAATCGAAACGTTTCATTTCCAGGTATAAATTCAGGCAGTACCAACAATAATATTTGATCATATATTGTGCCACCTTTGCTTTCAAATGTTTTAAATAGCATGAAATGGCTACTTTAAGCTTAGAGAGACCATCAAAAGGCGCGGAAACCGTTTTCAGGTGTTTTGGATTCATTAGCTGATTAGAGTGAGTCTAGAATATTGAACCTTTTTGCAGTATTCTAATTGCCATCATCACAATTATAACTACTAATGACGTGTACCTGGATTTGTATATACGTCTGTTATTAGCTTCACCTTTAAGTTGAATTAACTTTTTAACCATATTCTAATGTTTCTTAGTAAAGGTGACCAGTCAGATTTTTCATCAATACAACAACAGCTGGTTTAGATAAAAAGGACAAACTCTGGACTACCTTCACAACGTTTAGCTCTATAAACCCAGCTGATTAGTTTTATAGTTTATTCGATCCAATTGGTGACTAGAACATAACTAGTTGTTTGTTTTCTGAGTGGACTGATGCGCCTTTATCCATAGAGCAGACTGGTAAACTCATCTAAATAAATCCTAGGAAAAGTGAATAAATGAGAGGAGAGGAGCATGCGGTGTGTGTTTGTCAACAGCAGGGATGGATGAAGCATGTTGCTCTACTGCCTCACCACAGGCCAGCTGTTGACAGCGGTGTTGTGTCTGAAAGCGTTACCTCCTCAGCCTTCACCCCGTGGCAGAACGTCAGTTTCTTCTCTGGATCCATGGACGCGTCGAGCTCCAGGCCGAGCAGAAATCCTGATATATATTTTTTACACAGCTACAGTTTGATTACCGCAGTCCGACTCCACAATCATGATCTCCATCGTCCCCGTCCGCCATTCTCCCTCCCCGCCGCGCACACCGAGCGCTCCTCCGACAATGTCACCGCGCGCACGCAGGCTCGAGTCGGTGCTTAATGTTGCTGTGGCGACATGCCAGCGTTTCTCTAGTAAATTTTAGCAGAAAGGGACGTAGTTGTGCATGATGTCATGCTTCTGCTGCCACCAGATCTGCGGCGCTGATTGGCTGGAGCTCCCAGCAACAGCGCATGGAGGCTGCGGCTCTGGTGCGCTTCAGAAATAAAGTTTGTATCATTCAAGACACATAAACGAGTGTTACATTATTTAGATTGTTGATGAAACGTCTAAAAGTGCAAGAACAGCGATGATTAAAACACGTCTCACGAAATTAAAGAGCAAGTCACCCTCAAATCAACTTTTTTTGTTGATAAACTATATAAATGAGTGTCTAATTGCTCTGTACACACGTCCAGTCAATAATTCAGCACTTTAGTTAATCTTAGTCAAAATCTAAATAATCTGCCTAAAACTGTCAGCGATGCACCGTCGTCAGGCAAAAACTCAGCACTGCATTTGAATTTAAATCTGCCATCGCTAGTGGCTAAGAGGTACACTATGATGTTAGATGGTACGTTATGATGTCACAATGTTGTGAGTGTGTGTATTTGTTAGTGGCTCCGCCCTCTTGGTCTGCTAGGCAACAGCATTTGTTGCATTTTTCAAACAGGAAGTGGGAGTTGAGTAAGAATCTGGTAGGGGTTGACTTGCTCTTTAATGAGGGAAAAGAAATTAATTTGTTTTTCACAGATTTCTTTGCTATCAACTGAACCCATGTTGCTATGCAACCATCTTAAACACAGATGACAAAACAAAGCAACAATAAGCTACCACAGAAAAAAGTTTATTAAATTTCAATATTTTGCCAGTTTGATAAAATTTCATTTATTTAAAAAAATAACCTTACTGCCACCAGTAAAGGGTGTGGTACATGATAAAAATCAGAAGATATGCCATGCAACACATAAAAAGCAATAAAACAAAACGTCACAATTAAAAAAAATAAAACATTGCAAAATACAAGCGTGGCAATAAAAACCAGATAAGACAAGTAAAATACTGAGAAGTTAAATAGATCTAAAGTACTGATTTAATTTAGCTTTCAAACTCCAGACAGTCCTTGGTTGTCAGACGGGAGTTTGTTCTACAGTCTTGGGGCCAGTACTGCAAAGGCACGCTTCCCTCGGGACTTACTGGCATGCTTGGAGGTCGGATAGGACCCAAACGCAGGTAAATCCAGGAGGCAGCCAGGTAGGTCAAAAGTCTATAAAGTTGTGGTGGAACATGAGGAGCAAAAACTAACACAGGGATGCTAACTAACACAAGGAGCTGACAAAGAGCAATGGGCAGAGCTGATACTGAGGAAGTGAGTGGAGATGGGGAACAGGTGCGATGATAACTGCTCATGATGACCAGGTGTGACTATTAACCGAGTAGAGATGATTAACGCAGACGAACTGAACAGGATCAAATAAAACACAGTAAACTAAGAGGAAGCTAGAACTAAAAGACTGAATGAAGTTAATGATAAGAATAATCTAAACAGAACAAAACACAACACAGCAACTCAGGGAGTAAGGGCAGGGAAAATGAAGACTTAGAGAAATTACTGGGAAATAAAATTAGAACACAGGGAGAAAATGGGGGAAAAGTGGAAACGAATAAGGGGGCTAAATGTAAACAGAAGTTAACTGAGGAATAACAAATAACTATAAGAAAACAACTGCTGACACGGGGTCAAAGGTCACTGATGCAAAGGATACTAAACAGGGGATTGACACTACTAAAGCTAAACAAGGATAATGCTAAGCGGCTGGGGAATAGGAAATGGAGTGAGAAACCTGAGTGAAGACTGAGGGGACCGGAGACAAGGAAGGTGTATGGCAGGGACAGGGAGGACATGGACAGGACAGGACACTTACAGTTGTAGTGTTATGAATCTTATAATGGTCTGCCCTTAACAGCTGCCCCTTCACACAGTAACATCGCCAAGGTCGGATGCTTGGTTCAGTATGTTTACATTCCAGGAGAAGAGACAGAAGAAGAGAAGAAGAACGCTTTCCTTTAATTAAAGTACTTTATTTGTGATAAGCTAATCAGAGCATATGTTGAGCATTAATAATCAGGTGAATGATCTGTGAAATAAAGATGTCATGAGTTATGTGTTTAATGAATAAACAGGACTGCACCAGACAGACTGATCTACATTACCATGGAAACGCATGACACATTATTCTCAACCAATCAGAACTTTCGTCTGTGGTAGGGCAGAATCTGGGTTGTTTAATGAAAGTCGTCCAATCCGGTTTACTGAGATTTGTAAACAGTTAGGGGATATAAAATAAGGCAACGCCATTTTATGTTCAGTTCCATGTTAACCTCAGCTCCAGTACATCCGAGGTCCTAAGGATTTCCGTCGTCATCATTAAGAAGTTACAGGCTGGCCAGCTGGACTTCCTACTTTGAGCTGAACTGTCGAGCTGGAGATTTCCGTCGTTTGAACCAACGAGACGACGTTCCTTCAAAATAAGAGTGAACTTGTTGACGCCTGCCGATGCTACCTGAGTCGACCCTTCAGACGGGCGTTGTGTGCTGTGACCGCTGTTTCAACCAGCTCCAGTACCTCTGAAGGTCCGAGGACCTGGCAATTCCTGATCTAACACGGGAGGCTCTTCCTGGGTACGTAAATACGGCAAAATGGCGGCTCATGTCATCAGCTTCTGAAGCCTCGTGGTAGCCTAGTCATAACAACCAGATTCGCTACGTCAGCCTAGAGATTCTGAACAAAACACACACACACACACACACACCAACACGAAACATCCAAATCCATATGCATTCATCATTGAGATAGTCCTGGTAGATTGTAAGAATTTATAATTATAGAAATTAAAGATTCTTAAACGATCCCAACTCTCTCTCTTTTCTTGTCTCTTAGTCAATACAGAGTGTTTGAGTAAACTCCCTGATGATATAAACGACCACTTCTGATTAATTACTTAGATCTAATTACAGTGTATAAATATACAACTTCAGATCATTACACAGTTAAACCACCAGATCCTTATCAGCAGAGCGAAGGGATCGGTAGAGTCTTATCTCATTAAAAGCTCTGTAAGATAAGGTGGAATTGTTCCGGCAGGAGCCTGGAAAGCATAATCTAGCATTTTCATTGTTATGATGTGCTTGAAAGGCAACCACTGCAAATCATCTAGGACTGGAGATATGTGATCCTACTTTTTTACCCCATAAATGAACCTGGCAGCAGCACTGTGCTCCATCTGCAGTAGATTGCAGACAGAGTCATTCCGGCACACAGGGGACTGCAATAATCCAGCCTTGACAGTACAAACGTACGTGTTGCAGTCTCTAATCCTTTTTTGAAATCACTGACTTGATTCTGGACAGGCGTCGAAGCTGAAAGAAGCAGAATCGGATTACTATGTCTTCACTTGGGCATCAAATGACAGAGCAGAGTCCAGTTTCACACCCAGGTCAGTGATCGCAGTTTGTTCAAAGGGGCCCAGTGACATGAGGTCCACACCGTGAGGCTGGCGGTCACTGTGGGTGAAAACTATGACCTCAGTCTTATTGTCATTTAAACACAAGATGTTAGCTGTCATCCAGGAAGCTACCTTATTTAAACAGTCCATCAGAGGCTGAGTCATGCCCAATGACCCCTGACTTACTGGCAAGTAAATTTGACAGTCGTCGGCATACAGATTAAAGTTTACATTGTGCTTCGTAAATAACATTCCCATCAGGAGCAGGTAGACGGCAAAGACTAAGGGCCTAAGACAGATCCTTGAGGGACCCCCCCCATTTCAGAGGAGCATCTTCCGATGGACAAGTGCCCATTCAAACACAAAAAGACCTGTGTAGTAGGTAGGATCTCATAAAATAATAGCCCTAGTTGAAATTTCAAGGTCACATAGTTCCTGTGTCTTTTTGGTTTATTTAGAGCCTGTGACACGATGGCTCTTGTATACACATTTTTTACTCACTGGCCACTTAATTGTGTACTCTTGTCCACCTGCTTGTTAATGCAAATGACTAATCAGCCAATCACATGCTGGTGGTGGTCACAGGGACCAGTGGGGCCAATGTTCAGCAGGCCTCGCCTCTGTCAGTGCACCCCAGGGCAGCTGTGCGTACATCGTAGCTCATCACCACCAGTGTGTGAATGTGTGTGTGAATGGGTGAATGACTGATTATGTTGTGAAGGGCCTTGGGGGGTTGTAGAACCCTAAGAAGGCGCTTTACAAATACAGGCCATTTTCCATTTACCATGGTGGCAAATCAATGCATTTAGGAGTGTTGATAGGGTCAAGACGATCCGCTGCAGTTCAAACCGAGCCTCAGAATGAGGAGGAAACATGATTTAAGTTAATTTATAGGATTCTCTGAATTCTGAGGGAAAAACATTTTTATTCTCTCCTAATCTTCTTCTAAAGATATTTCTTTTTAAATAATAGAAGTCTCGTCACATTTAGGACTCTAAACATGTTTTATTTTGGTGGACTGAGGGAAAAATGTGCCTGTGATTGTAAAGGTTGCAGAATGCTGCAAAAGGAGCTGGGATTGACTGAGAGTTATAATTTTTACATCACAGACAGAAAAATGTAAATTAAACAGCTGCAGAGAATCCATGCTGGCACAAATCTAACAAAGACCATCATTGCATTAGATTTTCTTTCTCTTTACTAAGTCGTTTATCTCAGAAATGCTGTTTTTAAAACAAAACTGGTCTAATTTTTATAGTGCAGTGGTTGCAGTATAAATGTTTCTCACTAGAGGGCAGCAGATGGCACAGTTCAGCCTCTTTCCCTTTGCTTATCGGGTGGATGGTAGACTGGCTTTTACAGTTTGAAAGTATAGCAGATTACTACATATTATTTTATTTATTTTATTAATTTATTTGTCCTTTGTTTTTGCCGTTTGAAGCCAAATCTCTTGTGACTGGAGCACTAGAGCATATTTGCATACACATACTTAAATGTAATCTGAATGAAACAAAAACTTTATTCTGGATTAAAAGCACAGTTTCAGTGTTTTTTCTGACACAGTCACATGTCCAGATTGCTGCAGGACGTTAATAAAAACATTTACGACTTTTTGATATGTGGATTTAATTCCAAAACACTAACTAAGGAAATCAACTGTTCAGAATCAAACGAGAGAATGCATA